GAGAAGAATAAATCTTGTCAAAGTCCCCCTTCACCTTTCTGCCTCCAAGAGGCTCCTGTCTACCGTTACTATGGCTGCACTTGTCTAGGATTAAAAAGCTTTTTCCAGGAGGGTAATCTCTAATGCAGCTTTTACACAAGCCCAACAAATGACACCAAGTCTTTAAAAACTGCTTAAGACCTTCTCTAAATTAAATTCCAATTTCTTTCAGGAGAAGAGGAGCAAATCAATTGTCTTGTGTGGCGTTAAACCACAAACAGCCTGTAAATCAACCGGTTAAGAGGAGAAGGGAACCTTTTCATTCAAGGCCTTTTAAATGTGAATCAGAGCAAGTGGATAACACTGCAACCTTCTCAAAGACAGGTGTTGTCCCAGAGCCCATTCTGCACGAGGCAGTGTGTATATTCAAACTAGCTCATATTATTTAGATTAGTCTTGTTGTGAAGGTTTTGAGTTCAAGTCAGGCCTTTACAGTGTTAAGTATGTCAGTCATTGTATCAGAACAGACAGACATTTTGGATTAGCGTGTTTGATTTATATTACCTATGTCATTTTATCCGTGGATGAGTGAAAGCCATTCAACATCCAACACAGTTTTTCAACAAAACTGAAGTCATTTCAGGTTTCCATCAGTGTGACCACAGCATTATTGGGTGTAAATGCCAGCCCCAGTACGCCCTATTAGAGTATTACCTGCTCTCAGTCTCATTAATAAATGCTCACTGCCCTTTAAAAGAACAGCTTAATATATCATGCAGTGGACATGTCATTAATGCAAAATTAAGTTTGACCAATTATTCCCCCAAAGTATTTTTAGGCTTAATAAATCTGTCCGTCAAACTGAATGCCACGTTGGCTCTAACTGCAGGTAATGCTTAGCTGTAAATACAACACAAGATTATCGTTTTAATGATTGATATTATAGGAATTAAAAGCAAAACTATCGACACAAATGAGAGCACAGAGAAGTGTGCACTTTGTCTTTTCCGAGGCCGACAAATCATTGTGGCTGTGTGTAAATTATTCAACAGGATCTGGCCCCGCTGGAAACCTGAGCATAATTAAATTGCAATAAAATAACATTAGTGTGGACAGGCTGTTAGGAGGTGATGTAATTGGCCGCTCGCTGCGGTCATGGTTCAACTGATGAGGTCGACTGTCATGTCTTCCACTGGTCCTGTACATGCTGTCCCCCGGGGGACTGACAGCTGACACAGAGAGGACTCAGTAAGTGAATGTACACTGAGCTTTCCGTGCCTGTACAGTGATAGCTACCATCTGTGTCATCTTGATGAGTCAGGGTAAAGACTTAGGGACAATACTAGCCTATGTGTTTTGTATTTTGTGTCCTGTGGAGTGCCTCTGTCTTTAAACAGTGTGTGGTAGAATAGGAAGTACCTGTTTCACCACTGAGACATGGGCGCCATCTAGTGTCCAGATGTCGCACTGTACTTACATGTTGCCTGAAACAGCAGGTGTACATGCAGGACCAAGTTTACCTGTCAAAAGATGTTAGAAAAGCATGTTAAAACAGTCTATAAATCTTTAAAGTGACACACCAACATACACAGAATACTGTATACAACATAGTGTAGACAGGCAGATCCTCAACACCGAACAAGTGACTCATGTTACAAAGGTTTACATTACTGCTGTAATACTAACAGCGGCAATTGTAACGTGGTAAAAGGATACCGCGGCCTCACTCAACTTGGTCGTTTGTCATCTTCTCCTCAGTGGTTTTCCTACAACTTTGACACAAATGGGGCAACGCGATCTTCACCAAGCGCTTACTGGTAAATTATTGATCGTGATAAAACATGAATGAGTCAATAGCTTTTGAAAGTAATGCAATTGTTGTGCCTCATTTGCCACTTGCGCATAATTGCGAGCTGTACATCTGGAAGTGTGTCATGTCACTGATGTGAATGGATATGCTATCAGTTGACTTCATTAGGTGGCAGGAGGTGGGTGTTTCAGATGCACATGTCTGTAAAAACATGCACTGTGCTTGGATGACAAAGTGCATATGGTAGGTTTCAATGCTGATAGTTTTTCTGACATACTACAAAACAATGACAGTATGTTTTTAATTATTAATACCAAAGATGTGATCTAGAATAGACATGGTAGAAAACAAGTTCTTTCAAGTACGAGCCAAGACTTGAACAGGTAGAAGCTAATACTAAACACCAACTCACTGGTAGGACCCCATCATAAGTACTGTGCCAATCTAAAATGATGCACTAACCAGGCTTTAAGAGAAGTTTGACCTTGTTTGTGTGAAATATTTTTTTGTCTTGCACCTATAAATTTCTGCCTTGATCCCTCTTCTTAATATTAAAGCTGAAAAAAGCAGGAAAAAAGTTGCACATTGCATCAGACAGCCAATAACACACATTAAATTTTAGGAATGTTAATAGTATTTCCTCTGCTTTAGGGACTGTACTTTACTTATCACAGTGAGGGTTAGCTGGGGTATGACTTTGTTTTTATCATGACCCTCTCCAGAGTTACAGTTCAGTTTGGGACTAGATGTTACAATCCCTTGACGCACATATTTGAGACTATGAGTGGGAGTAAAGGCCCAAACATACTCGGGCGGAACGTACGCGGAGCGGACTCTGCGGAGGTCCGCCAGGACCAAAAGCGGACATCTGCAAGCCCTGTGTGCACAAAGCTCAGATTTTACAACCGCACAGACTCCGCTCCGCGCACCAGTGACTGCTCGGCATGTATTTTTCACATCGACGCGCAAGAATTGTGGGTAATGTAGTGTGTTTCACGGACATTTTTACAGGAAACTACAACGCGGAAGTGCACTCGACTATGGAAGCCCGAATGACTGCGGACATTCCTCATGGAGTCCGTTCCGCTTATAGTACACCCGAGTATGTTCGGGCCTTTATAGTGCCGTCTGGGGGTTTCTGAATCCTGAGCCAAAGGGTTAAGGTTAGATCAATAGGAAAGTAGGAAAGAGCAAAGGTAGATAGAAAAGTAAGGAGCCAAGGAGAGACGTCTGCACAGACTGACACTCCCCCACCGGACTGGGCAGGACACTAATCAAGGTGGTGTTTAACTGGTCGATTGTTGTTGCACATACTTGCGATTGTAAGTGAAAATTATAGCCATGCTGGGGGAGGGGGTGGGGTTTAAGGGAGGGTAAAAGCTTCACTGGGGTCATCAGGTGGGTGCCCTCTGTCCCTGGTGTTTCGATGATAGGCCCACAACACCTCCAGAGGGCTCATCGGCAACACCTGGCGTCCCAGGTGCGTCCTCTCTGCTTTTACTCCCTTGAACCCTGCTGCTGTTAGTGGTGTTATGGGGCCCAAGTGTGTACATATATTTTTCCTTAAGACTCCCTGAGTGACTGGTGGAAATGCATGACCTTCCCACCACCACAAATAACCATAACCAGTTTCTGTTCTCAGTTTCAGTTATAATAAAACAAAAAACATGCCTTTCAAAACCCACTTGCGGGTTTTGGGGTCCTAAGGGTATTGAAAATGGTAAATGAACCATTTAAGGTTGAATGTCCATCCTCTAAGCTAAATTAAAAAACATAACTCCCTCTTCAGTGTTTACAATTTTTTTTGAAGGACATCCCCTATTTTGCACCAGGCCCTACCTGCTCAAAAGTAACGAACAGTCCCTTAGTTGGATGAAGTTTGTCTGTAGATCTTACAATGACGAAAACTCTGTGTGTGCGTCTGTGTGTCTGTTCCACGTTTTTCTCCTCACTGACTTGGTCAATCCAAGTGAAATTTGGCACAGTGGTAGAGGGTCATGGGAGGATGCGAATGAAGCAATGTTACATCAATTGGCCAAAGGGGGGCGCTATAGCAACCGATGGAAATTGAAAACTTTGAATGGGCATATCTCATGCCCCGTATGTCGTAGAGACATGAAACTTTGCACAGAGATGCCTCTCCTCATGAGGAACAAATTTGCCTCAAGAACCCATAACTTCAGGTTATATAGATTTTCCTACCATTTTGAATTTTTTGAAAAACACTTAAAATCGATCTCTTACTAGGAAGTTTGACCGATCTGCATGAAACTCGGTGAACATAATCTAGGGACCAATATCAAAAGTTCCCTCTTGGCAAAAGTTGGAAAACTTACTAAAACTGAGCTTCTATAAGGCAATGAATATTGAGGAGGGCATGGCTCATCACATAAAGGTGTATAACATCTCAAGGGTTTCAAAGATCACCACACAACTTTGTAGGCATATGACCACACATAATCTGAGGGGACCCCTCCATTATTGACCCCATCAAACAAAATGGGGGCGCTACAGAGCTAATTTCTTATCTAGGCCTAACCGCCATATCAATTTTACTAAACTTGGTAGATATGTAGAACAGGACACCTCAAGGTGACTGGAGAAATTCAACTCTGCAACAAGGGCTAGCTGCACCATTCCCATGTGAACTACCAGTGTGCCCCCACATAAACACTAACTATCTGCCTTTCAACGTGCTACCTCAACTACTAATGTACAGTTTTAGCCAACTAACTATCCCACTGTTGGCAATGGTACTACAGTACTTTCAATAGAGCAATCAAATTCACAAACACTCTGTCTGAATACATTGCTCTTCTTAATGGGTTCAGTTGACTATTTAATCTGCAGTTTCCTATGACCTGTATCCCAAACACACACCAGGTGAAACTGTACGTGGGCAACTGTGCACTCAATGGGTATGGACTAGTTGTGCTAATTACCAAGCCCAGACACCTGCTGGCGAGATGGTGTGTGAAAGTGACTGGAGGTGGACAAGCATTGTGTGTGTTTCTCTTTTACCATTAGAGGTCACGGGGTATCCCCGTGACAAGGCCAATGCATTTTTATAAAATAGATTCTCTTTAATAAACTGTATCTCACCCAATCCTCGTTAGGGCTTGCTATTAGAATTAATAATGTCTGTCTCGAAACACAGAAAAATGGCAAGCAGGTGCGTTTTGTCGGTCCATATTGTGCTTTACAAATGTTGACTAATAATATTTTGTTAATTTCATACCATGGGCAACTGTGTTAGTTTGTGTTTTAACCAAAGTTAAAGCGGCACTAGTCGGAACCTTTCTTCGCGGGCACGCGGAGCTTGTGGACGGACGGATATCAGCGGTGCACACTCTGAACTTTCACCCCTCCAACTGGTTTATTGTTTTGATTTAACAGGTTGTATTTTAGTGTGAATTTTAGCGAGTGTTTTGACGGAGAGAAAATTTTAAAACAAGTAGTACTCTTGAGGATTTACTCAAGCGCGTGCGGACGATGTGAATAATGCGCGTGTCGACCAGTTACCGCTGCTGTTGTTGACAAAGATGCTTTCACCAAGATAAGCTAACGTTAGCCGTGTGGCTAACGCAGCGTACGTAGCTTTGGTAACAACATGACGATGATGAGGAGCGGTGTGTAGGAGCGACCGACCAGACATCGGATCGCGCCGATTTCCTGCTTGTCACACATTTCCAGGATTATCCTGTCTTTGTGTCTGGTTAGCTTAAAATAGCTTTCCTAAAGAAACAAGACGAAACTGGTGAGATTTAATCGAAGAGGTGGGTGTGTGTCTGTGGACATCAGCTAGCTAACGTAGACGATAGTGATACTTTCAGTTTATCACATCTGGTGGTTTGCATGTGTGTGTTTTTAAAATAACATCGTGCACGTATTTATTTGACATCTTCCCAACTCATTTTTGCTCTTTGGTAATTAAAGTCAAACCGCCTTTGTAGTGTTGGACATTTTCACCACTTTCTTTCAATGGGTGAGGAAAAGCCGGACACGCTGGACTTTGTGAAGGACTTCCAGGAGTATCTGAGCCAACAGACTCAACATGTCAACATGATATCAGGCTCTGTCAGCGGCGTCAAGGAGGCGGACGAGCTGCCACCAGGTAACCAGCTACCTGTCATTCAGTTACTGCTTTCAGCCCTTCAGTGGATATTGTGCTGTCTTACACGCCTGGGTTTGGTGCAGTTTGATACTGTGCAATTTTCTACAAACTGCTGACAGATGTGCCTCAGAGCATTATCTGATGTCTGACTTCAGATAGCAAAATCTGCAATTTTATAGATGTTATCATAGAGAGTAAATGCTGGAGTCATCAGGCATGGTCATCCTTATCCACACAATCCTTCAGTATGCCTGTGATAAATTAGTTTGTTAATTTATTGGCCTATTGTGTTTAAAAAACGATTTCAGACCCCCTGTCTTGCTTGTATTGTGAGTATTGTTTGCAGCTGAAGTGGACTATTTCTACAGCTGCCTGATTATTTAGTAATCAGGCAGCTGTAGAAATGCATGAAAGGTAGCTACAGTGTTGTTGAAAATAATACACCTCTCCTGAATCACGTGTTTCCGTAGATAGTGCTTAGGGCTGGGTGATATGGACAAAAGTTTATATCTTGGTATTGACAGGCTGACCGGGGTTGCATATGATGATGATATATATCTCGGTATTTTCTACGAAATGAGCTTCATGTTCAGTTGCAAGTCAGAGCCACATTTAAGATGTCACACACACTTTTATAAAAACAGATTGTGATAGGGATTTTATTCCCCTGTTTGAAAATATACAGCTGCACAACATGTAAATGAAAAATTATATAAAATAAATCGCAGAGCTGTACGTTAATGTTTTTGCACATAGCACAGGAGTTTTCGTGGCCTTTTAAAATGAATCTAGTTCTGCTATTTATTTAAATATTTTTATTTACTTAAGCTATTAATCTTATTTATGCACAGAGCATCGACGGAGAGGCCAAGGGAGGGAAGGAGACAGAGACACTTTGTCCTCGTCATATACGTCTTGTTTATGAAACGTCTGTGTTGTCGCTGTGTTTTTCTAAACACATCTGTCGCCTGCATCCACGGGCTGTCTCAGTGTCACAAAATAGACTTCAACTACCAAGACAAACGGCGACACACTTTTATCCATCTCACACACAAACTAGCAGTGCTGCACTGGATTGCACATGTCTCACAGACTGATTTAACATAGCATGTGCAACATATAGGCCGATGTCGCACTGTAGACTAAAGAACAAACTGATTAAACAGAGCAGCAGCTCTATGTCTCTCTTAGTGTTGGTGTAAAACTTGTGAGTGAGTGAGGCAGAGCTGTGAGGAGAGTAAGAGAGACGAGAGATGTACACTTGTATGCGCTATGTAACGCAACTTGACCTTATATCGATATCAACGGTGTTGTCTAAATTTATATCTTGCTTTAAAAGATATCGATATACCGTTCACAGTCATTATACCACTCAGCCCTAATAGTGCTGTATGATCTGAGTTTTTTTGGTGTGTCATTTCCTTTCTTTGTGTAAATTGTAACCTCTGCTTACGTTCCTGTTTGCAGACTGCAGTCAGAATGGACTGGATCACCCCTCAGTGGACATGTCACTAGAGGACAGCTCAGGGATCCTGGTGGATGGTTTTGAGAGGACCTATGACGGCAAGCTCAAGTGCCGCTACTGCAACTACGCCACCAGAGGCACAGCGAGACTCATTGAGCACATCCGAATTCACACAGGTAAGTGTCATTTTTTTTATTTTTTAGGTGGATAACATTTACAAGGTTTTTTTTTATCAAGCTTGTTTTCCTCAATCAAACAGGAGAGAAACCTCACCGCTGCCACCTCTGCCCCTTTGCTTCGGCCTACGAGCGGCACCTGGAGGCCCACATGCGATCCCACACAGGCGAGAAGCCTTACAAGTGTGAGCTGTGCTCCTTCCGCTGCAGTGATCGTAGCAACCTGTCGCACCATCGCCGTCGACGCCACAAACTCCTTCCCATGAAAGGTGCCCGCTCGCTTTCCCATAAGAAGATGCTGAGTGTTTTACAGAAGAAGGCCAGCTCGCTGGGTTATGGCCGCCGACTCCTCATCAACTTTAGCCCCCCTTCTATGGTGGTGCACAAGGCTGACAATGTGAACGACTTCTCCCATGAGCTGCCCCACTTACGTCAGGAGACATATGATAATCAGGGTCGCGTAGTCGAGGACGGGCACTCCACGAATCAAAATCATCATCAACATGATATGGTTATGGATAACCCCCTGAACCAGCTGTCCACCCTGGCCGGCCAGTTGGCCAGCCTTCCCTCAGAGTCCCAGGCCCAGACTCAACCTCCCATGTCTCCAGGAGCAGAGTCGATCGTTGATGAGAAGCCCTTCCTCATCCAGCAGCCCCACCCTGCCACAGCTCCTGTGGCTGTCTCAGCCAGCATGGCGCACGCCTCCTCTTCTTCCCCAATCACCCCAGAGCCCCGCGCTCCTCCCCACAGCAATTGCAGCCCTGGAGGGGGACCCTGCAGCGAGCACAGTGGGCGCACCAGTACCCCTAGTATCTCCAACAGCCAGCCCAGTACACCAGCCCCAGGTCTGTCTGTCCCACTCCAGGACCCCCATATGCTACATCATTGCCAGCACTGTGACATCTACTTCCCTGACAACATCCTCTACACCATCCACATGGGGTGCCACGGATACGAGAACCCATTCCAGTGCAACATCTGCGGCCACAAGTGCAAGAGCAAGTACGACTTTGCCTGCCACTTTGCTCGCGGGCAGCACAAGTAGTGGACGAGTGAGGAAAACTTTGAAAAATAACTTTAAAGGGACAGCTTTGTTTTATTAATTCCATAGTAATTTTATTTATTGGTCTTTTACTTGGCCTTGATGTAGCCTAGCCTTTGAAAGTTGTACTTATATAATGTCAACATTCAGATGGTTTCATTTTGTATAATTAAAGGTGCCCATTCAAGTGTATTATAAAGGGATGATCAGTGTTTTCAACAGGTTGAGAATTTATTTGTGGCGGAGGGAGTTACATTGACGTGCTGTCATCAATCACATAAAAACTTAGGCAAAGTAATTAACCTTACTTCATGTCGTAGGTAACAAGTTCACAATACTCCTTGATTTTTGTTTGCCACATAGATTAAAAAAAAGACAAGCTCAAAAATGTAATGCTGTCCATATGTTGGAGTTTCCCTTCAGTCCATGAGCTTAACCCAGGGATAGACAACCTGTGGCTCAGGTATGCAGCTCTTTAGCCCCTCTCCGGTTGCTCTCTGTGGCTTTGACAAAAAATATCACATTTCATCAACTTTAATGTGCATGATACGTCTACGACCTTCCAAATCTATAAAAGTAAAAGTCTCAGAGGAAAATACAGAATTTAATCTTGGACAAAATTGTTTGCTTTCACCACCAACCCTGAAATATTAAAGTACCAATTAATCATAAATAGCTGACTGCAGAGGAGCCGTCTTGTGGTAAAACATATTTTTTAATGCACATTTAGACCTATTTTTAATGTTGACAGGCTAATTTAGACTTAATACACAGTGTTACCGTAAGGCTCAAATATGTTTTGCGACTCCAGGCAGATTTTTAAAATTATTTTTCGTCAAAATTGGCTCTTTGATAGTTGCTGACCCCTGGCTTAACTTTTCAAATCTGTCAGGTAATCTGACAGAAATGGCTTTCATTTTACCTATCTGAAGTGAAATTCGATTGGTCCCATTCTATACAGATTATAAGATCATAATATGTGGGCTGTAGTGAATGACAAGCAGTGGCTACAGGAAGGAATTAATCCAGCAATCTTAAAACAATTCATGAATTACTTAGGGCTGGGAATCACCAGAGGCTTCATGATGCAATATTATCAACATGCTTACATCATGACATAATATTGTGATTTTAAACATTCCCCAGTATGCTGTTGTGATAATATATATAGCAATATTTTTAATTTATTTCCTTTTTTCAACTGCAAATTTTTTCCTTAAAAGAAAACTTTGTCAGCCACTGATTTCTCCAATAAGATAAAGTCTGTTTATCTCCCTTCCGTTAATTTAATTGCAGCAAAATTATCTAGTGGACTGAAAAGGCAGTTAGTTGGCTACCAGAAGTTTAATTTGTATTTGTAATATTAGTAATTGATATATTTGGTGTTACTGCCATGCAAAAATCGCGATACAGTGCTGTATTGATTCTTCTACCTCCACCTCACCTGAGAAGATGGTCAGCAGCTGTGTTGCATATACGTGATTTGAAGAAGACTGGTTAAAACACAAACAGAAAACACATTGTGAGGGAATAATACACATGCAGTTGCTAAATGTGATAGATTTAAACCAAATGTCGACTCATGGAGGAAAAGAAAACATGATTGTAGCTCACTCTTGCCTATCAAGAGAGTTAAGGGAAGTCTAGTCACACACGTTAGTTTTCACTCTCAACAAATGAGATGTTTTCAGGAGGACAGCTGTGAGTGGGCCCCCCCAAATAAATTCTCAACCCTCCTGGGGTTATATCTAAAGACTGCTCTGGTGATACTAACACAGGAGTGAAACTGTTGGCCTGGAGTGATCTTTACTTAAGCCTTGTTGAAATTATTTCAGTGCTTGGTGCATTACTACTCTTTCTTTGCAGTGCCTGACATAGTCACTTTCTTGTGTGTCCAACATAGAGAGGACTGTTACTTTGAAGATTGCTAGATATTATTACAATATCCTCTTCCTACTGTAATGGACAGGCCCAGAACCTTAGAAGAAAAGTTTGGCCATTGTAGTTTTCTGTGGTAGCTGTGATTTTTTTAATTTTATTTTTGCCAAAATCCTGCTCCATGAACGCTGCTAAGAAACTTTGGAATCAAACTATATGGATGGCATCCACAGTAAAACCTGGCCAAACTTTGTATCAATGGTTTCAAGCTTGATTTTGTAGAAGCCGGGTTGTTTTGAAGTTCCTTCACACAGTGCCCTTCCTTGACCAGCATCATGGTAACTTCACTCGTTCCGTTAAAAGGGTTTTGTGTATCCTTTTAATGACATCATTAGTTACACATTCTGATGTTTTGATATTGTATGAAGTCACTTTGATATCCAGTATCTCCGTGTTTAGGACAGAATCACCAAGTCTTGTGTCTCATGTGAACACTCTTTTCAGAAATGCCACGTAGCACTGGGGACGCGACGTTTCAGCCTTTGTGATAACACACACACTGAGATCCCCCCGTTCATCGTACGGCTCCCAGTGCTTTTCTGAATATTTACTGAGTATTGTATTCTGAGTCGTTGGATAGATGTTCAGTGTCAAAAAAGCAAAACTCATGTTTGCAGTAAGACTGCGACTTTAGCAAGATTGTTCTTTGTCTTGGGTACTGTTGTCTGTTGCTTAGCAACTGTTTTTAGGACCACCTCCTCGTTGCCATGCTTACCAGTAATAGGGGCATCCAGTAATGACTGCCTTATGTTCTCTCAGTGTGTCGTAGGTTCATAGGTAATGGTGAATGTTGAAGCCTGTTGGCAATCACTCTCTCCCTCTGGGATGGCAAATCATTTTATTGTGAGATGGATTAATCTTACTAATTTATAAGTAAAGTGTTTTCTAACTGAGCTGTCTTTTGTCTTCCTTTTCTCCATCATCTTTGTATTCCAAAACAAAATCAATAATGGTGATGAGGGCTCGGCATTATAACGACTATGTACGATATTCAATTCAGTTTTATTTATGAAGCCCAATATTTCAAATCACAATTTGCCTCAGAGGCTTTACAGCATACGACATCCCTCTGCCCTTGGACCCTCACAGCTGATAAGAAAAAAACCCTTTAAGACCTGAGCAAATGTCTTGATTTCTTTTAAAAACATGGGAGGCGGGCGATGCGCAACAAGAGGAGAAACGACCAAATAAATTAGCAAGAAACTAGTAAAAATTGAGAATTAAAAACAAGAAATTATTAAAAAAGGGAAATAAATTTAAAGGTAAGAACAAATGAATAGGGAAATGACCTGGAAATAGTGCTTAAAAATAAAAATAATTCTGTAACACAATTTTAAAATGTAATAATAATTATAAATATCATTTTTCCCTAGCTTTTTTTCTTTTTTGTCCTAGGTTTTTTTTCTTTAATAATTCTATTAATTCTATTATTTTTTTGTACTTTGTGGAACATTTCTTACCAAGTTGCTTGCTGTTTTTTCCCCCGTGTTTTTTAAAGTAACTGCACCAATTTTCTCAGGATTCGAAGGTTTAAATACTTGCAAAACGCTTCTAAAGCAGCACAAGAAAAGTGACGTCACTCCAGGTTTCAAAGGGTAAATGGGGGAAAAATGGTAGATGGACAGACGTGCAATAGCTGTCGTACAGAACAGATCAACATAATAAATTTGCAGTCATTAATATGACATGATATATCGATGTATTTTCAAGCAAGATATGAATTTAGACAACAGTAAATATCAATATTGGGTCAAGTTGCTATTTTTGTGAGCTGAAACCATTTCCCTCAGTGAAATTGAAACTTTAATTTACTTTAATTTCAGAAGAAGAAGAAGAAAAAATAATTAGTTGTGAAGACAAAAAAGCCTCCACAAAATAGCATTTTAAGTCTCGTGTGATTTATTCCATCTTCATGTGAGCAGCTATTGCCAGGCTAATTTATACAGTGTGACAGCCCTCTTACCTTCCAGCTTGAGCTGTCTTTCCCTTTAAGGAGGAAAGCAGGTAGGGCATCACTGATGAACTCATACCAGGTGTTCTGCTGCTCCTCGGCTATATAAGCTGCTGGAGTCAGTCAGTCTTTCTCTCACCCTGGGCATATGGTTTGTTGTCTGGTTTAGGGTAGTCTCTTTTGTGTTTATTTTCTTTGTTCTTTACACATCACCTTACACTTTGATAAGTGCTAACCCAACCTTTTGTGACTTAGTTTGACTGGGGTTTCTCCTGATAGGCTTAGCAATAAGTTCTACTAGAGAGCTTGTTGCAGCGTTACGGGTTTAATGTGGCGGTGAAAGTGAGAAGAGGTAAATGCTCGGGATCACGTCCATGGGTCTCTGGAGGTGGCTGCATAGGTTGAGTGTACTTAGTCAGGTGGATAGGTATAGTCAGGGGCGGAAATCCCCGGGGGGACAGGGGACATGACTCCCCCTTCAGTAAAGCTGTCCCCCCCCCTAGAATAATTTGAGACACAATAATTTTTGAACAATGCAGTAGTATTTATTAAAAGCACAATGTAAGCGGTGCTCATTATAATCACGCAATAATGTGCTATTTAAATCTTAAAAGATTTAGTCCCCCCCTCCCATTCCTAGTAGCGGTATATCCCACACTCTTTCCAACGGGCGGGGCTACTTGGCAGCAGTAGCAGCGTGTGGCTGGAACCGCTGCCCACATTGCGCATTGCAGGGTAAGATGTTCACTCACACAGACACAGTTTAACTTACACAAGTTACAACACATCCCATTTACTGTTACAACAAGCCCCAGGCCCAGGCTGATAATATAAACTGTCTGCAACATTTCTCCTGCATTGTTCAAAAGCCTACTCAATTACGAGTGCTGCTAAGCTAAAAGCTAATGATTAAGCTCAGAGTTTAGTGATAGTCAGAGAGGACAGGAGAGAAAGAAGAGGGAGAGGACAGGACAAGAGCAGTCAGTGGCGGAGCGGCTCGTAGCTAATGGGTACCTGTCTGTAGGCTCTCCACCTGTCAGTGAGACAAACATGAAAGACGTGCAGTCTAACCGACGAGGAGCGGTCATTACGCGCGACTATTACGCACGGTTGTGAGGTGCGCAGCGGCAGATCTCACAGCACACTGTTTATAAACCAGTTTACCAGTTTAATTGCAGGAAATGTTTAGTTGTTAAGCCATTTCTCATAAGTATAGACATTCACTCTGCCTGTTGGAGAGATAGATAGAAGATTTAAGCATCAAATTGCGGTAAAAGATGCTGTATAAAAGACACGCTACAACTTTTTTTCCTTGTCCCCTCCTGGAATTATTCTCTAAAATTTGACTGTTTATTGTCCCCCCCCCCAACTATGAAATGGGATTTTCGCCCCTGGGTATAGTAGATAGTTTAGGGGTGTGTTGGCCACCTGTGGTTGATTTGGTGTGGGCAAAAGCACTTTTTTGGAGGCTCACAGCTCTGTGAATAAATATAAAATGTGATATATTAAAAGATGTAGTAGATATCAAAATGCCTATTTAGCCCAATAAAGTCCAGAGTCTCCTGAGCTGTTTAAACTTTGATTCATTTTTCTTTGTCAAAGTATGGTGATTTGTAGTGGCCTCAAAGAGGAGTGATTGTAACTCTTTTCACATCGTTTTTCGATGCTCTCCAATCACTTTGAATAGGAAATTTTACGTAGTTTTTTGCAGTTTTTGTAAAAATGGCTGGGTGAATCTCTGAGAAAAGTCACAGCACACCTTTCCCAAATTATCCACATGCTTTGATGTATTTTTTGCCGATGTAGTGGCAACGCTGCAGGAGAAGTAGCGTGCCAAAGCTTGTAGAAGAAACCACAAGAATAAATAGTTGCCTTGCTGTTGTACAGCAGACACCCAAATTATTGGATGTTAATATTTAATGTTCAGTTAAGAGTATAATGTAATGAAATACACAAACACAGATTGTCTTTTGATGATGCTTTTAATCAGATAATGTGTTAAAAAGAAAAGGAAAATGGTGAGCATCATTCAGTGTCACAATGACCAGAATGAGCTGTAATTATTGACAGAATCAAGTTAAGCCTTGTCCTGCTTTGGAGTTTCTTCTTCCTTTTTCTCTAGGTCTGGCAAAGAGAAATGTGAAATGTCATTTATTTTAACATCTTAATAAGATTACAATGTCTTTTCTTAATGCTAATCTAATCTAACTATCCTGTTAACCCACTATTGGTATCAGAACTTGACACAAATGGCTACAGACCTTTGAGTTGGATGGGACCCAGGACCAGAGTCTGGCTGTCATGCTCTGACCCCACATCTCTGGCGGTACGTCTCATGCAGCCACGGCGGCAGCGGGAACTGTAGTCGTTGGCTTGGCATATCACTACCTTGCACTGGATGTACACTGACTCTGTGGCTCGCAAGAACTGGAAGGCCCTAAATGTGAACTGGGCGTAGGGCCGAGTGCCACTGCTGTAGGCCCAGTAGGTGCTGTCCACGCCACAGCTAAAGGTAAAATGGAGACAGTGTTACCTGACAATACTAACACTATGAATATGTGACGTTGACAGAAAAGCAAACTCCTGTATTCACCAAGAGTTTTAAAAGTATATGTTGCTGGTAAAAAGATTTCAGATCCCTTACTCAAGTAAAAGTACCAATACGACAATGTAAAAATACTCCATTACAAGTACACATTTAAAATCCTGCTTAGTACAAAATACAAAAGGATAACCGGCAAAATAAAGTACTATACTAAAGTCTTAAAAGTACCATTAAAAAAAGACACCAAATATGACATTATCAGATTGTTAATAAGGATGCATCAATGTATAAGCAGCATTTTACTGTAGCAGCAGGTTGAGATGCAGCTAGTTTAACGACGTACGTACAGTGCAGTGCACACACAGTCACCAGATAAATCTGAGGGATGTTGTGAGCAGGTTCATTGAGGAACTACTTTCTTTCTACTGAACTACACTCACCAACCATATTGCTACACAGAAGGAGGCGTGCATTTACTGCTAGCTCACCTCGCATCACTAGGCTAGCTAACGTTACAGCCCAGCGAAGAGGTCGCTTTAATGGTCACATCTTGGACTGTTACAAGCACGAGCCTCTTTTCCATTGAGTAGCAGGCCCCCAGGAAAGCAGCTCAGCCTTGCAGCAAATTTTCCCAGTGGCCATTTGCGCTACTACCTTGAACTGCAAATAAGGTCAATTATGACTCTTTCAATTATACATTTTTGAGCCATGGTGCGGTGATACATTTAGCTGGTGTAGTTTGGTAGAAAGAAAATAGTTCCTACATGAAACGTCTTACAACAAGGTCTATGGATTACCGTGAGTAATTGGGTCTCTACAGCCGATATCGACAACACTTGGCAACTCACACCAAAACAATCTGGACTGATAAATATTTTGATTTGGGGGTGAACTGTCCCCTTTAAGGTACACTGCCAGCGGGGAGCAGTGAAGCTCAGCGCTCTCATCTTACCCATTGCGGACCAGGTAGTAAGGCCTGCTGTGGAAATCATGGGGTGATGGTGAGGTCACACAGGTGTCAAGAAAGAGGACCAGGGAGCTGTCACCCCTCCTCAGGCTCACTTGGACATACATGTTCTGGTTGAGTGTCACCTCATATGGAACTTGATGCACCTGAGAGTGTGAAACTAATACGTCAGCATGGTGTGTAAGTATTTACAAAAAGGATTTTCTGTACAAATGCCCAAACGCACCTTATAGTAGAAGCTGCTGGATGTGTAGAAATCCATGGTGGTATTGAATCTGCCCGTGCCCACGATGCTGCTGTTACCATTATGATGCACAACATACATGATCTGGGACACTGAGTCTTGCTCCATCCGACAGCCAACGTTCATCTTAAGGTGAGACTGGCGTGTGATCTCTCCGGAGCTCGAGGCGTAGGCACGCAGAGTGTTG